CCTCCCGCCCTCCGAGGCGCCGGCTCCTGCCTGGGGGGCCTCAGACCCCCGAGCACTGTTTCCTCTTCCAGTTCCCGTCCCCTGAGTGGGACACAGTCACACCCGAAGCCAAAAACCTCATCAACCAGATGCTGACCATCAACCCTGCCAAGCGCATCACTGCGCACGAGGCGCTGAAGCATCCGTGGGTCTGCGTAAGTGGCCTCAGCGTTGGGCCACCCTGGGCGGGTTGACCCTGGGGTCCTGCCCTTGTACCCGACGGGCTCCCTGCTGCCCTGAGCCTCTCCCTGACCCTTTCCCCACAGCAACGCTCCACGGTGGCCTCCATGATGCACAGGCAGGAGACGGTGGAGTGCCTGAAAAAGTTCAATGCCCGAAGGAAGCTCAAGGTGAGACTGGGCCCTGTCCTGGCCAAGCACCCGTGAAGGTACCTGTCCCCTCGAGGGCCCCACACTGGGATCAGGGGAGGCTCTGAGGGTCCCGGCCCCTCAAGACAGTCTGCCTGTCAGCAGACCACACGTGTCAGGTGGACTCAGTGCCTCCATGGTAACAACGCCAAGGTGCCCAGACGAGGGCCTGGCCCCCAGGTGCATAGCTGGCCCCTCCTCACCTCTCACGCCACCCCTGAGGTGCTCCTGGGCTGCACACCAGGGCCCTCCGCGCGGCTCTCCTGGTGTGTGTGAGTCACCAAGCTTCCTGCCCAGGCCAGTGTGGTGAGGACACAGCCCTAGTGCTTGGGCGGGTGGGGGGACAGGAGGGAGGTGGCCCTGGCCTGCTCTCCTGGAAAGCTGCTGCACCCAGAGGGGGTGCCCAGCGTGGCTGAGCACATGTGGATGTGTCTGTCAGGTAAAGGTGGACCTCAGAGGACCCCTGGGAGTCTTGAAGCACTTTTTAAGCTGTGGTCAGTGGGCAGTTTCGGGCCCAGGGTGCATCACTCACCCAAGGATATTTTTTTCCATTGGTTTTTAGAGGGCGGGGGGGGAGAGAGCAACATCAATTGGTTACCTCCCTCACTCACCTGACCCAGTCCGGGGATCGAACCTGAAATGCAGGTACATGCCCTTGACCAGGAATTGAACATGTGACCCTTTGGTGCTTGGGCGAGGCTCTAGCCACTGAGCAACACAGCACAGGGCTGTGTCACTGTTTTAATTCTGGAAGCGGGTGGCAGCAGGTGAGTCCTGCCGGATACCCCCAGGCTGAGGCCCGGAGGGGGGTTCCTGGCCAGCAGATGGCCCTGGCCTCAGCGGTGTCTCTCTCCCTAGGGAGCCATCCTCACCACCATGCTGGCCACCCGGAATTTCTCAGGTAAGAACAGCCTTCTCCAGGAAGGCTCAGAATGACCCACCACTGGCCACCTGCCCTCCTGCCCCGGAACCCCTCCTCTGCTGTTGGCCTGCCCTTTGCCCTCTGCCCTCTGAGATCCTTCAAGGGCAACACTGCAGGTCCACCCACCTGCCCGGCGCCAGGAGGCCCCCCAGCACACGCCCTACCCCTTCGTTGTGGGTCTCTGTGTCCCCGCCTGACACCCCAGCTCCGTGTGTCTGTCCAGGCGTAGGTCGGCACCTCTGTGGCCTGTCGTTGTCCTGAAACTTCTGAGCACCGTCTTGTGTGTGGGAGGTGAGAGGAGGGTCTGGGGCCTCTCTGCTGAGCTCTGGACATTCTGGTGGCCACCTGCCCGGGTCACTGGAGGTGGGCAGGGCTGGGGGCGTGCGGCTGCTGGGCGGGGGGTGTCTGGGACCCCAAGGCCAAGGGCCTCAGCAGGCCCAGCAGGGACAGCGTCACCCTGTCCTGTGGCTTGTGTGTGTGGGAGTCTGTGGTCCGTCCTGTTCGTTGCATCCGGCTCCCTCCTGTGACTTTGCTGTGGACGGGGCTGTGGGCGGGCACCCTGTCACACTGGGACCGATGGGGCGCGTCCTGCCCACACCTCGAAGCCGGTGGGTTCTCTAAGGAGAAGGGAAGCAGATGCTTCCGACGGTCAGTGGTCTGCACCTTGTGTCCACCGTCCTGTGAAAGGGGCTCTGGAGCACTGACCCCCAAGCCTGGGCTCTAATCATCTTCTGCTTCCTTTGTCTCTTCTCTCCCTCACCTCGCCCGCCCCTCGTCTGTGTCCGCCCCCCCTCATCTCTAACCCGGTGCTAACAGTGGGCAGACAGACCACCGCTCCAGCCACAATGTCCACCGCGGCCTCCGGCACCACCATGGGGCTGGTGGAACAAGGTAGATGCTTTGGACCTGAGTCCCGCAGTCGGCATGCAGCTCCCCTGGCTGCGCGCAGCCGCCTCGAGGCCCGGGAGCCCCGCTCCCGCCGTGGACACCTCCCNAGCCATCCTCACCACCATGCTGGCCACCCGGAATTTCTCAGGTAAGAACAGCCTTCTCCAGGAAGGCTCAGAATGACCCACCACTGGCCACCTGCCCTCCTGCCCCGGAACCCCTCCTCTGCTGTTGGCCTGCCCTTTGCCCTCTGCCCTCTGAGATCCTTCAAGGGCAACACTGCAGGTCCACCCACCTGCCCGGCGCCAGGAGGCCCCCCAGCACACGCCCTACCCCTTCGTTGTGGGTCTCTGTGTCCCCGCCTGACACCCCAGCTCCGTGTGTCTGTCCAGGCGTAGGTCGGCACCTCTGTGGCCTGTCGTTGTCCTGAAACTTCTGAGCACCGTCTTGTGTGTGGGAGGTGAGAGGAGGGTCTGGGGCCTCTCTGCTGAGCTCTGGACATTCTGGTGGCCACCTGCCCGGGTCACTGGAGGTGGGCAGGGCTGGGGGCGTGCGGCTGCTGGGCGGGGGGTGTCTGGGACCCCAAGGCCAAGGGCCTCAGCAGGCCCAGCAGGGACAGCGTCACCCTGTCCTGTGGCTTGTGTGTGTGGGAGTCTGTGGTCCGTCCTGTTCGTTGCATCCGGCTCCCTCCTGTGACTTTGCTGTGGACGGGGCTGTGGGCGGGCACCCTGTCACACTGGGACCGATGGGGCGCGTCCTGCCCACACCTCGAAGCCGGTGGGTTCTCTAAGGAGAAGGGAAGCAGATGCTTCCGACGGTCAGTGGTCTGCACCTTGTGTCCACCGTCCTGTGAAAGGGGCTCTGGAGCACTGACCCCCAAGCCTGGGCTCTAATCATCTTCTGCTTCCTTTGTCTCTTCTCTCCCTCACCTCGCCCGCCCCTCGTCTGTGTCCGCCCCCCCTCATCTCTAACCCGGTGCTAACAGTGGGCAGACAGACCACCGCTCCAGCCACAATGTCCACCGCGGCCTCCGGCACCACCATGGGGCTGGTGGAACAAGGTAGATGCTTTGGACCTGAGTCCCGCAGTCGGCATGCAGCTCCCCTGGCTGCGCGCAGCCGCCTCGAGGCCCGGGAGCCCCGCTCCCGCCGTGGACACCTCCCACAGAGCCCCAGCCGCCTTAGGCCCCCCCATCAAAGGAGGGACAGGCTAGGCGGTCCCTAAGCAGTGCCCCATGTGCATTTAACTGAACCCCCCAGCCCTGACCCCTAAGTCTGGGGATCGGGAGACCCCTTTGGCCGGAGCTCTTTGCTTCTGAAGCTCTGTCCCACTTCTCCACCCCATTGTCCACCTGACCTCGTTCAGATGACCTTGGCCACCCACAGGAAGACTCGGGGCTGCTACTGCGGGTCTGAGTCCTGACTGGGGGTCCTCAGGAGAAGGGCACAGAAGCAGAGACCCTGCCCCTGAGAACCTGCTGGTCACCTCGTCCACCCGGCCTAATCTGCC